ACTATAACAATGCGATGGCCTCGAACCTACGCGATGGCCTCCAAGCTACTAGCGTTGGCCTCCAACCTACTAGCGAAGGCCTTCAGCCCACTGGCGATGGCCTCCAACCTACTGGCGATGGCCTCCAACCTACTAGCGATGGCCTCCAACCCACTAGCGATGGTCTCCAACCTACTAGCCATGGCCTCCAACCTACTAGGGATGGCCCTAGCGATGGTCTCCAACCTACTAGCGATGGCCTCCAACCTACTAGCGATGGCCTCCAACCTACTAGCGATGGCCTCCAACCTAGCGACGGCCTCCAGCCTACTATAGCGATGGCCTCCAACCTACTGGCGATGGCCTCCAACCTACTAGCGATGGCCTCCAACCTACCAACCTCTACTAGCGATGGCCTCCAACCCACTAGTGATGGCCTCCAACCTACTAGCGATGTCCTCCAACCCACTAGTGATGGCCTGCAACCTACTAGCAATGGCCTCCAACCTACTAGCGATGGCCTCCAACCTATACTAGGGATGGCCTCCAACCCACTAGTGATGGCCTCCAAGCTACTATAGATGGCCTCCAACCTACTAGCGATGGCCTCCAACCCGAGCGAGCGATGGCCTCCAACCTACTAGTGACGGCCTCCAATCCACTAGTGATGGCCTCCAACCTACTGGCGATGGCCTCCAACCTACTAGCGATGGCCTCCAACCCACTAGTGATGGCCTCCAACCTACTAGCGATGGCCTCCAACCCACTAGTGATGGCCTCCAACCTACTAGCGATGGGCTTCGATGGACTCCAACCTACTAGCGATGGCCTCCAACCTTAGCGGGATGGCCTCCAACCTACTAGCAATGGCCTCCAACCTGCTAGCGATCCAACCTACTAGCGATGGCCTCCAACCCACTAGCGATGGCCTCCAAGCTACTAGTGATGGCCTCCAACCCACTAGTGACGGCCTCCAACCTACTAGCGATGGCCTCCAAGTCACTAGTGATGGCCTCCAACCCACTAGTGATGGCCTCCAACCTACTAGCGATGGCCTCCAAGTCACTAGCGATGGCCTCCAACCTACTAGCGATGGCCTCCAACCTACTAGCCATGGCCTCCAACCTACTAGCGATGGCCTCCAATATACTAGCGATCGAGACGCTTCCATTCAATTTGACTCACTTTGACTTACTCTACATCCGAACCTCCGGTCCCCGCAGCTCATCTTGGCCGTCCCGCGCGGCTCTGCGCCGATGTTCCGCGCCAGCGACATCCACGGCGCACCCGCCGGTCCGCGGGGGCCGGCGCTGGCGGCGAGTAAAGCGGCGCCCACGGCAGCTCGGTAGAGATTGGGGTTGCCCGCGGTACCTACTTGCGATGGCCTCCTCAGAGCGATGGCCTCCAACCTAATAGGAATGGCCCCCCCTACTTGCGATGGTGGTCATAGCTTTTCATATCTTAGATATGATACTGACGGTCGATACTGCAATTGTTGAAGTAGCCTCATCACAATGTGAGTTCTATGGTCACTGTGGAGACTTGAGGAGTTGTAAAGCATATCGATCCTTGAAGATCGCATTTCACGAGTCATTCCGCATTCCTGGTGGCCAGCTTTGTGAACATTTCCAGCTCAGGACAACAGACAGCGGATTGCAAATTTGTCCTTTTGTGTAACAAGTGTATGAACTATTATGAACTTAAGTATTGTTTGCTTTGATGCTGGCATATGCAATGCCATATTAATGGCCCTCGACAATGGTCCAAGATCTGATGAACGTCGACGAACCTGGGTCGCTCTTTCCTGCCTTTGATTTCAGCTCCTGCCTAGTCAAGACCTCCAAGTATTTAATCAAATGAGAATGATATTAAAACTCCACGTGGTCTTTGGCCGTAAGGTAGTAAAGTGCAATGAAACGCTGTGAGAAGGGTCACACTCCAGGTCGTGCCGCCTCCGCCTTGGGCCATTGGCAAAGGTGCTGCTCCGCCAGTCACACCGGCACCGCCTGTGCCGGCACCTGGAGGAAAGAGCTGGGGCAAAGGCCCGAGCTGGGAGGCACCAAAGGGCGACTTGGCGCAGTCTTTTGAGGAGGGTTTGTTGAGAGCTTGTCACAGCTTGTCTTGCTTTTGACCAAGGCTGTCAGTGTATATGGCGGACACACGGTTTGGGATTCTGTAGGGACAATCAGGATTCTTATCTAGCTGCACTCGGCTACGGCCTTTCTCACTTAGGAGGCTATGGCCCAGAGCTCACGCCGCCGATCTTCCCTGTTCCTCAGCCTTACGGAAAAGGCATGCCTATGGCGAAGGGGAAGGTGTGGTCCGCACCACCCTCAAGGCCTTCAGGAAGCCCCAACACCGTGGCTCAGCGGCACTCCGTGGAAGCCCGGACACCGCTCTTGATGACATGGTAAAATACGGTAAGAAGGTGAGCCCGTGGACGGAACTGTCTCTTGCCCGTTTGTGGAAACAAAGCCAGCAACCACGTCCAATTCCAAGCCTTGGCAGTCAGTTGTGGCCCGCAGTTCCTTTCAGAGTGGATTCCGCAATGTCTGATCAGGGTTAGACAGCAGAGTCTAGTTATAATAACTTCAGGCGGCCTGACCGGACAGGGCTTGCGAAACGTGACCCTATGCAGGAAGCGTGTCGCAGCTTGTAGGGCCAAAGTGTCTAACTTTTGTCGAAAACGCAGGTTGAAGTTGCCAAGTGTGGAACTGTCGCCAAACATGGGAACTTTATAGTACAAATGTAGTGCAGCAGCGGCTTCTGGCAGCTGTGGCGTTGGAACTGGCAAATTCGGTGCGGGAAGCAGCTTCTGGCAACTTTGTGGTGCAAATGGACAGAACGCCTTTTGCCAGGCTTCGGATCCGGGAACAAATTAAACTTGGCAGCCATGTCATCTGTTTTTTTTGCAGCGCTGGCTCCATCTTGATGTTGACAAACTTGTGCGCGGTTCCTCTGCAAACTGTTGGAGAAGTGGGAAGCCCTTAGGACCTTAGGAGAAGAGTTGGGACGAGCAGACGCCATGAAGAAGGAGGCGCCCGATCGTCACTCTCTTCGAAACTTGCCTCTCACACATACAGCATTGACCCACTGCCTTGCCGAATGTTTGTTTGTTGACCCTGTTGCCCTTGAACACCTCCGTGGTTTGCCCACTAACCTGCTAAAGGGAAGTTGAGGGAAGGGCTTTAAACATATTGCAATACGACTGAATGGTGCCACTTAAAGATGCATTACGACACTTTGTGAAGCTTGTAACACATGTTTGCGCAACTGTGGCTGAGGGCCTTCAAACCAAGTTTAGCCGCAAGAGCTGCTGCAAATTTGGAAACCCTGGTGAAGTCAGCTGCCACAAGGCCAAAAACCCAGCTAGCATCTATCATCCATATGGTATCGTTTCCAAACATGTGTTTTGCCCAGCTAGGGGTTGCCACAGCATTGCGTGTGACTTGGATGTGAAGCAGGTTTTGCCCATTTGTACCGTTTGCGCGAACATTGAGCATTAGGATGCATTGTTGACATTGACGACGAATAAATAATTCAGGTGGCCAAGGGCAACAAACAAACATCGGCAATCTGCTCTTCCCAGCGAAGCTTGTCCGGCAGCTCCAAACCTGTGCGCTTAATGGACGGACATTTTCTCCCGCAGGCCTGATGTAGCGGAAGGTCTTGACATTGATGTTCAAGCGTGTGTAATTATGTATGTGCATCAGGACTGCCATCATGTTGCTCGGGTTGCCTTCTTTTGGAAACCAGGCATTGCCCAACATAAGCGTGAACTTTCGTGCGAGGCGAAGCCATGATGCCCAGCCTTCTTTTTGCAATTCAGGTCGTCTTTGGGCCCGAGGGCAGCATTGAACCCGTTGACGCAATAGATACAAAACCGTTGACGCATTGAAGCCGCTTCCAGTGCGCCCCACGGTTCTTTGGACATGGACCCAAAAGTTGCCCCGCCGTTCTTTGTAAAGTCTTTGACCTTCTTGAACTGCTGCTTGACCTTCTCAGAGAAAGCTTCCTGTCATCAAAGATGTCGGGCGGAAGATGTAGCCACATTGGACCAAGAATCAAATTCTGAGGCATTGGCACTCCATCCACTCAAGCCCGAAGTTGTTGCGCTGGTGCCATTCGAAAGGTTGAGTGGTTACCCTTGGCTTGAAAGTGCTCGAGAACAAGAAAGTGATCCCGCACAGTGACGCAGCAAACAACTCCAAATATCATGTTGCAGGGGTTCTTCGCGACGATGTCGTTCATTGCAAGAAAGGAGTCAAAGTTGCTGAAAAGTGGCGGTGGAAGCCTACGAATGTCTGGCTCGTGAAGCATAAAGTTTGCAGGCAGAAACAACCCCTGCTGTAAAGCTGGCGCGCAGGTGATCCACCGAGTCTGGAATTTTTGAAGGACAGGCTGCGCATCAATCAATCTTGCCATGTCGGTTCTTAAGCTTTTTGGGCGAAGCTTCGCTCGGTTCACAGCTTCTCACTGCATTTGCATTTGCCTGCTCTTGGGAGATGGCAAAGTTCATCGCATCAGCTTAACAAAAATTGCAGCTAAAAGGATTGCCACTTCCTCTTCCCTGTTGTTTTGTGGCCGCAAGCGTGGCAACCTCAAACACTTCATCTGCCACATCTGCACTCATCACCTGTCGCAGTCCTGCCTGCCACAAACAAGTGATGCCTGCTCCAAAATATACATTGGTATGTGAAAACTACAAAGGCGACAACCATGCAAACTAAACACCCATGCCTGCACTCTGCATCTGTCTTTAGCATCATGTCTAGAGTCTATACACAACAGTGGCCACACAATGAGGCAACCATAGATGAGCAACACAGGTCCAAGGTGGGTTGCTAGCAATTACAATATAGATTTTACATAGCAGCTGACCTGCAACTATGCCATATTCTGCGAGGTCTTTCCAGTCCGCAATAAAACCAAGGTCACTTTGCTCGGTGCTGGAAGTCTACCTGCAGGCATTGAGAAAGACATCCAGCAGCAAACAAAACATGCATGTGATGTCAAGGGTTTGACTAGTGACTAGACTGTTGTCCTCTAAGCTAGACCAAGAAGAAGGTGTAAAACGCAGTGGATGTCTCTGTGGCGTTGGCGGCGTGCCATGCCAACCCTAATCCTGGAGTGGCCGGTGCATTTGCGTTTGGACCAGAGGTTGCATGTTGAACTAAGGATATAGAGGAGCAAGCAAGGCAGCTGTGCATCCAACATTCCTTCAGCACCCCAGATCAGGCACCTTGGACAGAATCCTGGGCAAAACTTGAATCACACATTGACAGCTTTAGCCGCTGGCCCGATGTTTTGATGGCAGTGATACCGTATACCCGTATGTTGTTTTCCGCTTAAAAACCTATAGAGTCTCAACCCGAAGCAGGCCTCTCAAGATCGATCCTACTGGAATCCGTGGATCACATACAGCTGCAACATGCAATGTTTTTTTGGTAACACATACCCGCGAAAGGAAATGGTCAAAGGACTGCATGGGATTTAAGTTGGGAAGCAAGGATGAGGCTGGCGGGGTCGGATTATTGATCTATCATCAAGGATGCCCTCCAATGCACCTGTATTTATGGATCAGAAGGCGCATTCGGCATTCGCGGTGAAGCAATTTACCGCATGTGAACTGGTGTTGCTTTTTAAAACCCGCGGTGCAAAGGTACATTTGCACCTCTAGCCACAGAGCATATACATGTTTTGAAGATGCCAGCAGTCTCACAGCACCACTGGTAACAAGCTACCACCTCGTTAGCAGTGAGAACCTAGCAACCACTTCGAAGAGGACAAAAGTACAACTTTGCCAGCGGCATACAAGACGTCTACTGAGTCTACTACATCGAATGCTTCACAGCAGTCACTCAGTCACGCTTCACCGGTGATGACAAATCCAATAGGCAGTATTTCACCGGTGGTAAGATCCTACCGATCAATGGCTCCTGGCCTTACTACGAACGGAGCAAGAGGACGCTACTAGGAGCAAAGGGCATCGCTACTAGGAACAAGGACGCTACTAGCTTGGAGGTGCTACTAGGTTCCCCTTTCCTCTCCCAACAGCACGGTTTCAGCTTCCTTCCTCAGACAAAGTGCGTCGCCAGTGGAAGGATTCCACCTGGCAGACGAAGTTGCCATGGAAGTGGCCAGCATTCCGAACCTAGGTGAGATATGTGTCCCCCTCGGTGGTCTTCATTGACTTCCCCTACCAGGACGCCTGTCGTGAGTTCCTTCGAGTCTCCAACGGACAGCTCAAGGTGCGCCAGTGGACCTACAGAGCCTCAGCTTGAATTGTAATGGGAACCTAAAAGCAATGGGAACCTAATTGTAATGGTCTCAAACCTACTAGCCAACCTACTAGCAATGGCCTCACCCAATAGCAATGGCCTCCCACCTAATAGCAATGGCCTCCCACCTAATAG